CAAGACCGACTTTGCATTTCCCAACTCCCATCGATAGTGGAAATAATCGATATTTTCATGCTTCTACGGCACTTTTCATGTAGTTTGCGGCCATTTTATACTGGCCAGAGTGAGAGCCTATAGCTAGCTGCCACGAATAGGCAGGAAGATTCTATTGGCCAGTGTGAGAGCCAACAGACTGACACGAATGTTAACTAGCATGCTAGCATGCAAAAAAAAAAAAAAATCGATAATTGCATTCGTCACAAGTGGGAAAAATTTAAATCTGCATGGCACTTTACTCCAATTGGCTCATTCGTTTGCTTAAACTTAACGTTGATTCTGATTCTGCAGAACTGGGTTGGGTGTGAAAAAGTATTTGTTGTTAACATTCTTTTTTCATTCGGTTTTTCCAGTTACGAGTCCTTTTTTAAAGCTGATCGTTTTGTATTCATTTTGTTTAGTTCTTTTTTCGTTACAGATTTAATGTTTAGTATAGAGCTTAGAAAAAAATAGCAGTGTGAGATAGGCAAGAAGTAAGGCATGTAGCAACATCAGCACGGCAAAGGGCACTCCTTTAAAAGGCAAGGAAGGGCAAAAAATATTTTAAGTCAAGTGATAGCGTTTGCTGTATGAGTCGTATGATTTTTGAATCAAGCATGGGCAACGCCGGGCCATGCTGCTAGTCATTAATATGAGAACCAAAATTCCTCAGAAAAATCAAATAAGGAAACTGTGAAATGTTCATGTGTTTTCTTAGAGATTGCTCTTTTGCGGATGTTTCTTTCGGTCAAATCATTTTGAAAAACACCAACTTTCGCTTGATTACCAAAGTTATGCAGTGTTGCTCCCGTTCAATAATTAGATGGAGGCCGTTTGGGAACACCAACTATCGAAAGCAACCTCTTATAATCTGTAATATGTTAACGTTAATGGATAGCCATTCGTATTCGCGGATACCTGTCTATTAGGGCGGCTACCTAATCCCTATTACAGATGCCTACTCAGACACATTTGTGTTTGTTCAACATTCACAGAACCCACCTGTATACTGCAACAATGCTAAGCGGACCTTAGCTACAGCTTCTGGTACAGAGCGCGTTATCTGATTAAGGTCAGACCTTTCAAATTCTCGGTCACGATGACTTGTGACTTCGTGCTAGCACAGCTATCGACGGTCTCCACATAGTTCCGTCAACCCAATTTTCACTCACAAGGTTTGGATCAACCTGTGGTATGGTTTTCAGGCACTTTCCAAAGGTGCCGTACGCTGGGATCGCTTCCCCAAGACTCATGAATCAGCTTCTCGAGAAATCGACTAAGGTGAGATTCGAACTATGCTAAACGGACCTTAGTCACAGTTTTTGGCGCGTTATCTTGGGTGAACAACAGTCTGAACAAGGCCAGCACTCGCATATCCTCGGTCACCATGACTTGTGACTTCGTTTCTAGCACAACCATTGACGCTCCCTAAAGGGTTCTGTCTACCCAATTTTCACTCACAAAGTTTGGATCAACCCGTGGTATGGTTTTCAGACACTTTCCAAAGATGTCGCACGGTGGAATCCCCTCCCTGAAACAGATAACATAATGAAGTTACATTCCTAACAAATCGACTATGGTGAGATTCGAACGCCGGTCTCATGGTCAGAAAACAAACGTGACCAAAATCTGTAATATAATTCTGCTTTAAAAGACTCACAGATGTTTGCTAAGCCGTCAAAGAAAAAAATATTTGCCCAGAGCCTAAGTAAAAGCGGTTGTTTTTTATTTTTATTTTTTTGTATCATAAAATTCACCTAAAACAAGGCTCAAGTACCACTCAAGTTAGAGGCTTACTGTTAAAACACTAAAGAATAATGAGGTGTGCGCGAAGAATAAATGAAGATTATTAGAATATAGGCAGATAGGTAACAATTGACTCGTGACCTGAAGACGTTAAGATTAGAATGTTGCAATGAGGAGTATCCTCGTGGGAGTCTGCTCCACAAGGAAGCAGTTCTTGCGATAATGCTAAGTCAGATGAAATGACGGTGGTTCGGCTCCTTGGAAGTAACACGGTGTATCCTAGCTGGAAAGGTCTGAACTGGTGGAATGGAGCGCTCATCTGAACATTTGCCATGGAAATAGCGATAGGCTTACAACGTTGCGCCTGTAAGAGAAGGGGGTGCAAAGCGGAAAACAAGTCAGCCTCCCGCCACCCCTAAAAAGACTGCGTAAGTGATTTTGAATACTATCAAATCTAGAAAGTGAAGATTGAGTAGCTCCAAATGATAGCTATTTTCCGGCTTTTTTTTTTTTTTTTGATAGATCTGAGTTTGGTAAACATACAGCGTAGCAGAAGGAATCAGGTACTTTCTGGAACGATAGAATCAGTTGATTATTTTTCTAGCCGTTAGCAATTGATTGTATAGTGATTTCAAAGCATAGATTAGATGTGGCACAAGGCCGAATATAGAGGATCGAACACTACTCAATCGTAATTGTTCTAGCGAGACAAGCTTGTTAACCATTACACCACCTCGAGATGCCCCAACAGCAATGGATTGTATGTAAGAGTTCCACTTGTGGTTAGTTGTCTACTTGACACCAAATATACGCTCGACATATACATCCTTATTAAGAGTGTAACAATGCATTGTGAAACGAAGGATGATTAAACGATGTTATTTTTGGCGGATATTGAAAATCACAAGCCATTGATCAATTAGAGTTCGATCAGACGAGAGATCAGCTGCAAGGCTCCATCTTGGTTTTTGGAATGTTCACCCATAAATTGCTATTGTCAGTTCCGTGGCTGTGTTGCTGGACCCATATCCAATTGCTTTGAATTCAGAATCTTAGGAAGTGGAGCAATGGATAGCGGCTCGGATTGAGAAGTCGGAGAGCCGAGTTCGAATTCCAGTCGGATCTATTATATTCACTTACGCGGATTCATACCTTGGTAAATGCTCATCTCCTCCCAGGTTTGGGTAAATAACAGAACAGACTTGGTTTTATAATATTGGCGTTAAAGGAAGAAGTCTTAATTCACAACTGACCTAGAGAAGGATGGGCTTCTTGCCTAAGAAATACCTGTTCACTTCCTAACGGCATATATTGATCACAAGACTCATAAATGTCATATATTGTCCTAAAAGACAAAACTGACTTTCAGGTTTAAACAATGAGATCTTTTTTGGTGGCATTGTGGATAACGGTTCGAACTGAGGAATCAGAGAGCCGAGTTCGAATTCCAGTCGGATCCATTACATTCACTTACGTGCCGGGAAAAGAATGAATCCTCTTTTTCTCCCCATAATAGGATGAATAACAAGGAAAACCGGATTCTATAGACTTGGATTGTGACTGGTCTACCGCAGAAAGAAATGGCATAAAATCTACCTCGTCAGTCATGTATAAGCAAGGCACATAACTGTCATCTTAGACAGCTTGCAAACCAAGCCGATAAAACTCAATTTTCCTTAATATTTTTACAAATATGGCGGAAATATAATTTTCGGCTTAATCTGAGTCTTGTAAAAATAAACTATAGCAGAAACAATCAGATAAATTCCCGACCATATTTACAGGCTCGTTAGCCATGCATTGTACATAAGAGACCGGTTAGAGGAAAGATCGGCTGCAAGGTAAGTGAACCTATAATCTTTGATATCATCAGCAATTGATATTTGTTATTGATCGAAGAATGTTCGTCAGCAGATATTTAATAAAAATTAGAAAGAGAATCGGCTTGAGAACAGAGCCTTGACTGACGATATTCAGTCACCCTCCCGCCACGAGGGTGTCATGTGGCACAAGGCCTTTTTAATGTGGGCATTCCGAGCCCGTGGGCTCGGCCAAAAATATGCCCATTGAACCCGTATAAACGGGTTCAGGGCCGGTCTACCTCCTCGAAGGAGACTCCGCCCTTCGGCGTAGCCTCCTTCGGGTTCATCCCGTCCGTAGGAAGAGAGTTCAACCGAACAGTCGATCAGAAAGTACTGAGTCGACTGACTCAAGCATTGGTCAAATGAGCTTCTAAAGATTGGTCATTTCACAGACTGAAAGTAAATGATTCTTATTTATTTAATATCAAGTGGATCAATTGTGTATCGAATTTAGCCTTATATATAATTTGCATCTCTGTTCCCTTTGAAGAATGGAGGAGACTGGAGAGACAATCACCACCCAAAGCATGCGGGAGGCGTTATTTGGGCGTGCAAACGTTCATCGTGGCAGGAGAAAACTCAGAGTCTGATCGGTAATGAGAAAAACGATACAAGTAGAGTTTCTGAGGTACTGACAGTGTGAAGCCATCTTTATTCCTGTTAAGTCTAGACAAGAGGAGAGATCGACGTCAGGACTCTGATCATCTTAACTCCAATAAAATTGGTCAAATGAGCTTCAGAAGACCGGCAATTCACATCAGCTTTCACGGAGAGAAATCGAGACAATCAAGCATGGGGGTGTCATTTGGGCGTGCAAACGTTCATCGTGGCAGGAGAAGACTCAAAGTCTGATCGGTGATAAGGGAAAAGTTTGGTTTCTGAGGTACTGACAATTAGACGCCATCTTTATTCATGTTAGGGCTGTTAGACCTCGAACAGAATAGAGATCGTTTTGATTTTTGAAAGTGCCTCCAAGTTTTTGTTAAATTGATCGATTCATTGGTTGATTTGATTTTCTAGGGCTTATCAACATTTTGTAAATAATTTTAGATTGTATGAGTTTTGGGGGCGATAATAATAATTTACTGATAAAAGTTCTACTAATTAACCCATAGCTGGGGGAGAAGAGGTGGATTTATATCTTTCCCAAGGTTATTTGGGCGTAAGTGAATATAACGAGCTCGGTTGGATTTTGAAATCGGCTCTCCGATTTCTAATTCCGAGCCCTTATCCATTACACCACGCGCACATCTAGGCTTAGAGCTCAAGGTATTCCCAAGCGGTCACTCATCTAGGTAGAGACCAGAGTCGACGTTGCTTAACTCCGGTAATCGTAAGAGAATGGATGCCATACCATCGGCACATCCACCTTACACTACACGATATTCTCAAGCAGTAACCCATTTAGGTACAGATCAGTCTCGACGTTGCTTAACTTCGGTGATCGTATGAGAATGGGTGTTTCAACGTGATATGGCCGTAAACCATGCCAACAGCACATCCAAGCTTACAATACGTGGCATTCTCAAGCTGTCACCCATGTAGTCACAGACCAGACTCGACGTTGCTTAACTTCGGTGATTGTATGAGAATGGGTATTTCAACGTGATATGGCCGTAAGCCATACCATCGGCACATCCAAGTTTACAATACGTGATATTCTCAAGCTGTCACCCATGTAGTTACAGACGATGCATGACGTTGCTTAACTTCGGTGATCGTATGAGAACGGGTATTTCAACTCAACACGATATGGCCGTAAGCCATACCGACTGCACAGCCAATCTTACAGTACATGACATTCTCCACCGGTTACCCATGTAGTTACAAAGCAGACTCGACGTTGCTTAACTTCGGTGATCGTATGAGAACGGGTATTTTAACGTGATATGGTCGTAAGCCATACCGACGTCACATTCAAGCTGACAGTACGTAATAATTTCAAGCGGTCACCCATCATGGTACAGATGTTGCTTAACTTTAGTGATCGTACAAGAACGGGTTTTTCAGCGTGATATGGACGTAGGCATAATCAGATCGATACCTTATCAACAAGCAGATTTATTTTCTAAACACACGGAGGGTCAAGACGAACGATCCTTACCCTGTTTTTTTTTGTTTCTTTTTTTTTCCTCCACCTCTCCAGCCATTCTACCTCACCATACCCTTTTTTTTAACAGTCACTCATTAGTCGCTTTCCACCTTTTCGCCTCACCTCAATAGTCGCCCATGCCTTCTCCCTGCCCGCCAGTTGCCAGTTTACATAAAAGGGTGTGTCTCCTAACAGCAGGAGTCATTGTCGTGGAAGCTCACGGGACACGCTGCTAAGTGTATCATAATTAACATACAAGTGGATACCTCGACCGATATCGGCCCCAGAAGCTATTATGTCGTCAACTGCCTCTCACTGTCGGTTTACATAGACAACCAGTGTTTTATTGTCAGCCGGCTATTTACAAAATATAGTGATTTTCCAAACGTTGCTCAGATGTGGCACAAGGCCGAAAGTATGGGACACCCAGTGAGGATCGAACTCACTACTCAGTCGTAATTGTTTCTAACGAGACAAGCTTGCTAACCATTACACCACATCGAGGTGCCCTACTATTTACAAAATATATAGTGAATAAAGAAACAGTAGTCAGATGGCATTAGGTGTGTTTAGGTTTAATTAACCTACATTTAAAAAGATCGCTTTTCATTTTACTAAGACGGCTTCTTCTTCTTCTTCTTCTTCTTCTATGTGCCATGTCCCTTCAAGAAGCTGAGAACCATGGCTCTCCACAATTTCCTGCCCTTTGTAGCTCAATAATAAATCTTGTCTTTTTGTTATCTCTCGTAAACCTTGTTCCGCCATACATTTACTCAAGCTCATTCTTCTATATTTTTGTGTGCCGTGTCTCTTCAGTGCATTGGCGGTCATGGCTCTCCACAATTTCCTCTCCTTTGTAGCGCTTAATAAATCTTGTCTTTTTGTTATCTCTCGTAAACCTTGTTTCGCCATTCATTCACTCAAGTTCTTTCTACTTTTTCTATGTGCCGTGTCTCTTCAGTGCGTTGGCGATCATGGCTCTCCACAATTTCCTATTTTTTGTTGCTCTTAATAAATTTTCTCTTTTTCTTATCTCCCCTAAACCTTGTTCTGCCATCCATTTACTGAAGTTCCTTCTTCTACATTTTTGTGTGCCGTGTCTCTTCAGTGCATTGGCGATCATGGCTCTCCACAATTTCCTATTTTTTGTTGCTCTTAATAAATTTTGTCTTTTTCTTATCTCCCCATAACCTTGTTCTACCATCCATTTACTCAAGCTCATTCTTCTACTTTTTTTATATGCCGTGTCTCTTTAGGATATTGGCGTTGATGGCTCTCCACAATTTCCTCTAATTTGTAGCTCTTAATAAATCTTGTCTTTTTGTTATCTCCTAAATCTTGTTCCGCCATCCATTTACTCAATCTCGTTCTTCTTCTTTTTCTTTGCGTCGTGTCTCTTCAGTGCGTTGGCGATCATGGCCCTCCACAATTTCCTGTTCGTTGTAGCCCCTAATAAGTTTTGTCTTTTTGTTATTTCTCCTAAACCCTGTTCTGCCAACCATTCTCAAAAGCATTTGTTTTTTTCCTATGTCCTTTTAACTTTAATCAGTCTTGTTAGAATAATATTTTCTAAGCCCTCGTTCCGTAGAAATTTAAATTTTCTCTTCTTGATGTTAACTATAAGTGTCTTTTTGTTTTCATTTTCTCTAAAACTTCGTTGTTACTCACATGTTCAGTCAGAAGAATTCACAGTATCCTTCTGTAGAACCACATTTTTGTTAATTTGAATCACGTATACAATGTAGCCTAGTCAATGTTTCATTTATTTCTCAAGAGAGATCAAGAATTGCAAAAAAAGCTTTCCGAAATATATCTGTTTTTAACACTAAATTATCCGTGGAAATTACAAGTTTTTATTCTTTTTTATCCAACTTCACCAATGGAATCAACCCTTTTTACACTTATGATGTTACTATATTCGTTAGAACTTCTTAAAAAGAAAGAAATGTCATTTCCAAACCAGAGTAAAAAAAAAAAATGTTAATTTGAATTTATAACATATACAGTGTAGCTTAGTCAATGATTCATTTATTTCTCAAGAGAGATCAAAGATTGCAAAAAGCTTTCCGAAATATATCTGTTATAACAATAAATTATCCGTTGGAATTACAAGTTTTTATTCTTTTTAATTCATCTCCACCAATGGAATCAAACCTTTTTACACTTATGGCGCGTATTATGCATGAATAGAAGCATTTTTCCCAAACATTCAGCACAATTTTAGGAGTGCGTATTATGGATGAAGGCGTATTATACATGGAGAAAAAATGAAACAGTGACTAATCTAAATTGTATACGTCATAAATTCAAATTAACAAAAAAATATTCAATCGAATTGAGTTCGCGAAACATGCGTAAGTTGAAAGCGTAAGAATTGCTTAAAGAAAAAGAAATGTCATTTCCAAACCAGAGTAAAAAAAAAAAGAAATTATTAATTTGAATTTATAACATATCCAATGTAGCCAAGTCAATGTTTCATTTATTTCTCAAGAGTGGTCAAAAACATTCCGAAATATATCTGTTTTTAACAATAAATTATCCGTTGGAATTACAAGTTTTTATTTATTTTAATAACGATTTTTTTTGTCCAGTTTCTGGAACAAATCTACACTGCTCTGTCCAGTTCTGTTACAGACTCTATTAATTGGAATTCTAATAATAATCGTCGACTATAATTCTCAATCAATTATGTGTCATCGCCTAAACGTGTACCAGGCATGGCACATAACTGACTGATTTCATTTGAGGCACTCAGATAGCATTGTCTCTTATGACATCAGTCTTTAAGTCGGCTTTGCAGTCGCCATCTTTGTCGTTATGTTGCTAAATATTTTCTTCCGTTTCACTGTTATTTCAAAATTTCTTACATGAATAGATATTGAACAAGAAGCGATTTATATAATACCAGGAGTAATCAATGAATCACAGATACCATTGAACGCTGACTGACCACACATCACTGAAAACATTAGAACTCCTACTAGACAGACACGCATTCACAATTATGAATACACATTACGATTCGCTGCTCGCTTAGAATCATTAGAGTCTTTGAAAATTTACATACAAGATTATCTACGGTTTTAATGCATATATACATGACTGATCAATGTGAATCGATCCAAAACAAAATCGAGAATACCAAAGTTCTTTCTTTTTTGTCTGATGAACCTTTATTAAAAGTGAAAGATGTTAGATAAATGTTTCCTATTTGTTTTATATCTTATCATCCTGTCGAAATCCGGTCCATATTTGATCTGCATTTGATCTTTAACATATACATCGTTATATTCATGAGACATTCAGTTAATTTTGTCAATTAAGTAATCGTCTTGCCTCTATTTGGTCTTGAAATTGACTTTGCTGTCTTTGTTCTGTTGCTAATCTTTTTCTAGCAAAATATACTTTCATTTCACTTATAATAAACGCATAACATTTTTAGTATGAAAAGAAATTGCGCAACAAGCGATTGATATAATCTTAGGAGTAATCAATAAATCATAGATTCCATTGAACGTCTATAAAATCTACAAGGAACATGGTTCATTGGCTTCTATTTTAGTCAGGAATTCTTTATCTCTGCTTTAATGAATCTCAATACATTGTTTCAAGACATTTGTTTCATTGCATCTCACTATTAAAACCTTCAAACAATTGCCGTCATTTTTGATGGCGTTTGTACAGTGGTAAACTAATACTGTAGTCCGCCGCTATAGCGTGGGTCTTGAGATCCAAGATGGCCGACCCACGCTGCAAGTGAATCGGGGTAGCTAAGTGGGGCGACAATAGGAGTTTAAACACCTACCTGATTTTGGGGCCCTATTTGCCCTATATCGCGATTTATACCGTAGATAATGGCTCGAAAACAACCTAAAAATTATACTAATTTATGCCAATGATTACATAAGAAATTTAGTGTAATTTGCTTTTTAAGCTCCACGCTAAGTATCTAATAAAAATTTCCCGAACAGTTACTTTTTATTCTAAATTTACATGCCTAATTCGAAAATAAAGAAATTTTTTTAAAAATCTACCGTTTCGGATTTATCGACAATAAAATTTCGGACTCATTCGTGTCGTTGCCGGGTAAGGCATGGCAGACATTATTTGCATTGTTTGCATCAGGGCGTGCGCAATAATCGAAACAAGTAATAATCTTATTCCGTAGGAAATATATGCAAACAACGCCAGTAATGGCTGCCGCGAGGCGAATAACTCTGAAATTTTATAGTCGATAACTCCAAAAAGGTAGATTTTATGAAAATTTCTTTGTTATTTTCGAATTAAGCATGAAAATTTACACGTAAATATAACTATTGGTGAAATTAGGACCCATCTGATGATCGCTGTTTGTTCTGTCTGTCATGAAGAGGGTGGCAAAGAAATTGGTAAAATAGGGTGGAATTTCTAAAAACGTCAGTGATATTGAGGGTACTAGAGCAAAATCTTGGGGTCCACCACCCACCCACAGTACACCGGGTACTGCGGTAAAATGATTCACTTAATAACGGTGCACTTCTGTACATTCTATGAATAAGAAATGACTAGATATAGAGTTATCTACTTCCATGCTGGACATTTGAAAGCTGGGTAAGATTTTCAATTTTTGAATGTCTATGAAAAACTTATATAAACAGGTTATCTTTAAGTGCAGAGGTCAGCCTAAAAGTAGTTTCTTTTCTTCTTTAAATACAACAGACATATATATATATATATATATATATATACTAGCAGCATGGCCCGGCGTTGTCCGTGCTTGATTCAAAAATCGTACGACTCATACAGCAATCGCTATCACTTGACTTAA